TTTGAATGATATATATATGAAAAAAATAAAATGCACAAATTTAATCAATTTAATTTTAAAAAATAAAGAAAAATTTTTTATTTGTACGTTACTGTATTAGTAAGTATAAAAAATTTTCAATTAGCGCTACCTATTCTCTCTCTATATTAATAAATTATTTGGTGTTATTCATTTCCTTATCATCTCCTCAATTACCTCCCATCCATATCTACTCACATGCTATATTTTTCTCAATTTTTCACATTAACATTGCAGTTCTGTTCATATCTTTCTATAAAGCACCTTAAATTCTATATTTTGTTTTATTATCGTCCACTTATATTATTGTTGAGCAGTTTAATTCTAGTTTAACTTAGTGCATGTATCTCTTCTCATTTCTCTTCCCTAAACTGATTTTTTTTTTTTATATTACATTTTGGCATCCATTTGACCTTTACTCTCTCATATAATCTTCACGTGTGTGTATATATATATATATATATAAATATTCTATAAATCATCCTCTTGAATTTTTTTTATGATCTATTTTAAATTATCTTTTAATTAATATTTTTAAATATCAACCATTAGATTAAAAGTTCAATTTATATTGATTATGCATTTCATTTTTCAAATTGATCTAATAAATCTAATTAATTCATTGATTACACAAAATTTAACAATGTTAAATACATGTCACTAAATAGAGTTTCTTTGATAAAAAAGAGTTATAAATGTTAGATTACTATGAAAATTGATATGTATGATTTATATGAAAAACCTTTCAATCTAACAATTGATTTTGAAAAATGTTAATTAATATATAAGTTTTTAGATAAGTTTTCTAAAAAAATTTTGGGAGTACAACTTGTACTACACTAACCCCATATGTATTAGCATTATATCTGCATTTGAAAAGTGATGTTATTATTATTTTTATCTCTTTACCTTACATTGGAATTCACTTTTCCTTTATATTAATAATTTTTTTATTATTATCCTTTCATTTTCCTTATTTTTCCTTTTGTAATATTCTTTCTTAATTACTCGCATTTTCATCTATCATTATATATCTCTTTTTTATCATAAGTTTCTCGTCTCCTAATGTCAATATTAGAAATATTTTTTTCCAAAAAATGCCACACAATTTCTTAATATTGTTCTTTAGTTCTTTTTCACTTCCATTTACTTAACTTCTCTCATTATTAAGTTTTCTTACCATTCAATCCCTCAGCTTCTCACCCAACTTTTTATCTTTTTACCTACAGTCACCCTCTCTTTATTATCTTTATTGATTAGTGATATATATATATATATATATATATATATGTATGTATATATTTGTTATTCTTTCTCCCCTTATCATCCCCTTTTTATTGTTCTTCCTTAGTTATTATTGGCATCACTATTTATTGTTATATATTATAGTATTAGTTTTTGTTAAGAGTCTATCTCTCATCTTCCCCCTTAATATTTTATATCATTATATTTATTTTTTTACCTTACATATTCAAATAATAATAAATGGATCAAAATTTAGAATTAAAGTTTAGGATTAATGATGTGACTTATCCCACATCATTTAAAATATTAAAATGTAGATCTTATATTAGTTAATAATTGACTCTTTTTTTGAAGATCTGTAATATTATATGCATCAATTAATTTAATGACGTGACATAAACCACATCATTGATCTCAAATTTTTGTCTTACCTACAATTACTCGACATATTATTCTTTATTTCATTATACTTCTATCTCTATCATTATTTTCTTAAATATTTCTTACTTCTCTATCTATCTTTGTATCTTTTTTTTTTTTTTTTTCTATTTTTACAAATTGTTATTAGCAAAGTGTTTTATTAAAGCACAATTGACACAACCTCTTGGTATAATTCTCTTAATACTTTTTCAATTACTTTTAGGCTAAACCTCCAATTTGGTTCTCAACTATTGTACAGACACCAATTTGATTCCTAAACTACAAAATCTCCAATTTATTAGTCCCTCAATTATTATAAAGACCCTTGATTTGGTCTCTACTATTTACCAATTTGGCCCTAAGTTGATCATTTTGTTAAAAAATAGCTGACGTATCTATTACTTAATGATAAAAAAACCATTACTTACCTGCCACGTGTCATGTTAATAATAAAACACGTCATATGCTTTTGTACGGAATGACCAACTTGAGATCAAATTAGGAAACACTGAGGACTAAATCAAGAATTTTTTTTAGTTTAGGAACCAAATCAAGTGTCTATACAATAATTGAGGGACCAAATTGAGGATTTAACCTTACTTTTACTTCACTTTTACAATTACTTTTCCTGTGATTCCATCTTTTAGTGTTTCACCCAACAATTTATCTATCCTACAAT